TTTTAGATTATTTTATAACTTCTCTTCTGTCCTCAAACTCTAATACCTTCTCCTTATCCTTACTCAGATAAAGACCATGATTGACACAGGAGCCCATCTCCTGCTATCTTGCCCCCACCATCCCTACCTGCCCCCCTCCACCATCAATTCCTGTATCCTCTGCTTTCCCTCCTATACTATGAATCCCTGAGTTGTTGCTTCCTCAAGCCAACCTTCCATATTTGCATTGGATCCCACCCCTATTCACTGATTCAAGAATATTGCTCCAACTTTTCTTTCTTCTGTCTCCTACATCGTCATTTTTTTCTCCCTCCGTTTCCTGGATCATTGCTACATCCCCTTCCAGCTCCTGCCCTGTTTCTCTGCTCTTCTTTCTAACAAGTTGTTTCATAGGGTTATCTCTACTCACTGTCTACAGTTTTCCTTGTTTCCTCTTAAACTCACTCTTACCTGAGTTTTGTCTTATCACTCTACCGAACGGCTCATTTCAAGTCACCATTGACGATTCTCAGTGACCATCTTATTTAGAAATATGGTGTTACCCTCCTCTGTAAAAATCTTTGTTTATCTTGTTTCGAGGACACCACAGTCTCCTCGTATATCCCTTTTGCTCTGGCTTCTCCTCAGTCTCCTTTTCTGACTCTTAATCTCCTCCAGCCCCTAAATTTATGCTTTTCTAGGGATTACTTCTAGGCCATTTCTCTCTACAGTTACTTCCTTGCTAAGATGATCCAGTCTGATACCTTTCAATACTGTCTGGATGCTGATGGTATGCAAATTTGTATCTCTAGCCCTAGCGTCTTTGCTGAATTCTAAACCTCTTAACCAGTGCCTACCATTTGTCTCCACCAGAAAATCTAATAGGTGTCTCAGACTCCCCTTCTCCAAGCCTGCTCTTCCTCCAGCCTTTTAATCTCCATTAGTAAACCAATCCAGTCTTCCAGTATGTCGAGCCCCACACCTTGGTGTCTTCCTCGATGATTCCAGTTTTATCTTCTCATTCAAACTGTCTGCGAATCCTCTTGGTCTCCTTTGCAAATAGATTTACATGACCACTTTTTATGAATTGCAATGCCATCCCCATAGTTCTCGCTCTAACTTGGATCATCGCAATAGCTTCCTAAATGAAACCTGTGCTTCCGCCCTGTCTCTTTGGGGTATGTTCTCATACCCATAAGGGAGCTCAACAGCTCCCTTAGAACAAATGCCAGAGACCTTACAGCCGTGGTCCAGGACCCTTAGGACTGACTCCTCTTCCTTTCTCACTTCTTCCCTTTCTAATCTCTTGCTCACCCTGCATCAGCCATAGGGGTCCTTGCTATTCTTTGAATACACCAGGAGCTTTCCCACTTCTGGACCCCCTTCTGACCAGAAACACTATGCGCTAGATCTCCACACTTCCTCCAAGGACTTGGCCCGCATGTTGCCCTCTCTGCAAGACTTTCTCCAACCACCCTGCTTACAATTGCAACCCCAGCACTGGTTGCCTGATATTCCCTTCCTTTCATCCCTGATTTATTTTGATCCACCCTCCCCATGGCTGTTCTTGTGATCTGATGATATATAATGTATAATTTATTTATTTACCCTTTTCATCCCTAACCCCTCAACACAATGTAAAGCTCCATGAAGGTTGTTTTGGTTGGTTGATTGATTCATTTTGTTCACTCTTGTGTCTAAATAAATATGGTTCATAGTAGGTGTTTAATAAGTAAGTGCTGGGCAGTAAGTTTATGCATGAAGTAAAGCAGTGACAGAAAGATGGGGTTCCTGCATAGTTGTAGAAGTTGGGGTGAGGAGGTCACACTTCAGAGGTGAGGAAAATCCAAGCCATAGTTTTCCAGTTGAGAGAGGGTGTGTTCCACCATTTCACGCCTTGGGGTCTGCAAAGAGTGCAGCGTGATTCGGAGTCTAGGGTATGTGGTTGGTGTTGGCTTAGATAAGTTCCTCATTTTGTATTCCTACCAGGGATGTAGGAGGAACCCAGTTGTTTCACATTCTGTCAACACTTTATCTTGTCGGTTTTTTTTTTTAATTTTGGCTTTTCTAATATGTGTGTTTCATACGGATTTTCATTTGCATTTTCCTGGTGGATCATCATGTCAGATATCTTTCCATGAGCTTTTTGGTATTTGTATTCATTTGTGTGTGTGTGAAGGATTTGATCAAATATTTTGCCAATTTTTATTGAGTTTCCTTCTTACTAAGTTGTAAAGGATCCTTTATGTATTCCAGATACATGTTCTCTTTCAATACATGTGT